TCTCATTACGTGGTCAGTTTAAAGTTAAATGGATTCTTTTAGACACTCGAAGTAATAAAGCTTCTTCTTAAAAGAACTGCCAGATACAGTAAACTGTAAAAATTTGTTCAATAATTTAAACATGAATTAGAGATGACTTTAACCTGATTCGTTTACACTAGTTACTTTTCTTTTTTATTTATTTTATTATTATTTTTTAGACAGGGTCTCACACTGTCGCCCAGGCTGGAGTGCAGTTGCACGATCTTGGCTTGCTGCAACCTCCACCTCTGGGTTCAAGCAATTCTCCCACCTCAGGCTCCCAGGGAGCTGGGCTTACAGGGATCCGCCACCACATCCGGCTAATTTTTGTATTTTTCTAATAGAGATGGGGTTTCACCATGTTGGCCAGGCTGGTCTTGAACTCCTGACCTTAAGTGATCCACTTACCTGGGCCTCCCAAAGTGCTGGGATTACAGGCGTGAGCCACTGCACCTGGCCATTTATACTAGTTACTTTTCTTTTTCATGTTTTTATTGATACAAAATATTTGTACGTATTTATGGGGTACATGTGATATTTTGATGCATGCATACAATGTGTAATGATCGTCAGGGTTATCAGGATACCCATCACCTTGAACATTTATCATTTCTTTGTATTGGGAACATTTTAAATCTTCTCTTCTACTCGACATCACTAATTAGCAGAGAAATGCAAGTCAAAATGACATCACCTTACACATGTTAGGATGGCTATTATCAAAAAGTCAAAAGACAGCAAGTGTTGGTGAGCATTCGAGAAAAGGGGACACTTGTACCCTGTTGGTGGAAATGTCAATTGGTGCAGCCATTATGAAAAATAGTATAGAGGTTCCTCAAAAAATTAAAAATAGAACTACCATATGATCCACTAATACTGCTATTGGGTATATTTCCAAAAGAAATAAAAACCCTATCTCCAAGAAGTATCTGCAGTCCCATGTTAATTGCAGCATTATTTACAGAAGCCAAAAGATATGGTAACAATCTAAGTATCCATCAACTGATGAATAAAAAAAGAAACTGTGGTGTATACACACACACACACACACACACACACACACACACACACACACACACACGGATATTATTCAGCCTTAAAGAAAAAGGAACTCTTACCATTTGCAACAACATAGATGTCTTAGAGAAGAGTATGCTAAGTGAAATAAGGCAGACACAGAAAGACAAATACTGCATGATCTCATGTATATGTGGAATCTTTAGAAATTAAACTCATAGAAAAAAATCTTCTCTTCGGCCGGGTGCACTGGCTCACGCCTGTAATCCCAGCACTTTGGGAGGTAGAGGCGGGCGGATCATGAGGTCAGGAGATTGAGACCACCCTGGCTAACACGGTGAAACCCCATCTCTACTAAAAATACAAAAAAGTTAGCCGGGCGTGGTGGCGGGCGCCTGTAGTCCCAGCTACTTGGGAGGCTGAGGCAGGAGAATGGCGTGAACCCAGGAGGCGGAGCTTTCAGTGAGCCGAGATTGCACCACTGTACCCCAGTCTGGGCAACAGTGCAAGAGCCGTCTCAAAAAAAAAAAAAAAAAAAGGAAAGAAAAATATCTTCTCTTCTAGTTATTTGGAAATACAATGTATTGTTGCTAACTATAGTCACCCTTCTGTGTTATCAAAAACTAGAACTTATTCCATCTTATCTGTTTGCTTGTACCCATTCACCAGCCTGTCTTCACTCCCCCACCCCTACACCCTTCTGCTCTCTACCTCCATGAGATCAACTTCTTTAGCTCCCACATGAGTGTGAACATGTGATTTTTGCCTTTCTGTGTCTGACTTATTTAACTTAACAAGATGGCCTTTAGTTCCCTGCATGTCGCTGCAAATGACAGGATTTCATTCCTTTTTATGGCTGAATAGTATTCCATTGTGTATATATATCACATTTTCTTTACTGATCTGTTTATAGACTTTGGTTGATTTCATATCTTGGCTATTGTGAATAGTGTGGCTATAAACAGGGGTACAAGGATCCCTTTGATACGTTGATTTCCTTTCCTTTGGATAAATAACCAGTAGTGGGATTGATGGATCATATGACAGTTCTATCTTTAGTTTTCTGAGAAGCCTCCATAATGTTTTCCATAATGGGTGTCTGGATATACATTCCCACCAACAGTATACTCATTACTTTTCTTTTTATCAGATGTCCACAGCTATAAAGTGTCCTTTGGGCCTGAAGAACAGTAGTAACCTAATAGTTGGCCTTCACATTGCAAAATTATCCCTTTGAACAGCAATCCCCAACCTTTTTGGCAACAGGGACTGGTTTCATGGAAGACAATTTTTCCATGGACAGGAGTGGGGAATGGGTTTGGGATGATTTGAGCACATCACATTTATTGTGCACTTTATTTCTATTATTATTACACTGTAATATATAATGAAATAACTATACAACTCGCCATAATGTAGAATCAGTGGGAGCCCTGAGTTTGTTTTCCTGCAATTAGATGGGCCCATCTGGGCGTGATAGGAGATAGTGACAGATCATCAGGCATTAGATTCTCATAAGGGGCACACAACCTAGATCCCTTGAATGCACATAGTTCACAATTGTGCTCCTATGAGAATCTAATGCCCCAGCTGATGTAACAGGAGGTGGAGCTCAGACGGCAATGCTAGTCATGGGGAGCGGCTGTAAATACAGATGAAGCTTCCCTCTTTTGCTTGCCCCTTACTCATCTCCTGCTGTGCCACCAGGTTCCTAACAGGGTACAAAGGGTACTGATTCATGGCCCGGGGTTGGGGACCCCTGCCTTTGAAGACACCCAACCAGTTTCTTCTTCCGAAACCACTATTGGAAAGCTGGATTGTATTATTCTACCCAGTTATTTCTTGTCCTCCTTTTAAGAGTATTATTCAGCTCACTTATTGTTGATAGGGACAGAAGACAGGGAACTACCGGGTAGAACAAGGCAGTTCCCTGGCAAAGGCCCCACCCTCAAGCCTGGAAACCCATGGCCCTAAATGAAGAGAGGCATTCCTGCCCTTGTGCCCAAAAGTTACCTTTTGGCCCTCCATGACCCCCATCCTGTACCCAAATAAACTCCAGAAACCAGGCTCCAGCAGCAAAAGATGAGCAGATGAACAGAAGAGCAGAAGAGCGGCAGGTAAAGAGAAGGAATGGTAGGAGGAGTTCAGCTGGGGACAGTCAGAGAATCCACCACTGGACGGTCAAACTCCAGGGGAAGATCATCTTCCTACTCCATCCCCTTTCCAGTTCCCCATCCATCCCACTGACTGCCACCCCTACCACCTAATAACCCCCACCCCACTACTCTACTTCCCTAGCATTCACTATCCTTCAAGTCCATGTGTGACCTGATTTTTCTGGGAGGGGGGACAAGAGCTGGAGATACAGAAAGCTGTCAGACTGACCCTCTGCGCTTGCAAAAATGCAGAGGGTCTATTAAGCTGGTTAACACTTAAGCCGTCCGCTGATGGTAAGGCTAAAAGAGCACACTGTAACACAAGCCCATTTGGGCTCCAGAAATCACAGGCTCCTGCCCCTGGACACTGCAATGGGGCTGGAAGCCTAGCGCCCCAGCTTTTGCACCCCAGCTCCTGCACCCGTCCGTCTGCATGCTTCACCTCCCATAAGGGGTTTCAGCAGGGCAGAGACGGAACACACCAGCCACAGCCCTGTTGCATGTCCTGCAAAGGGCAGGGAAAACGGGGAAATCAGGGAACTCTCCCGTTTCATTGTCACATGACTTGCAAGGCTTCCTTAAGAGAGGGGTATACTTCCCCACCCACTGACAGCAAGTTTTGACCAATAGAACCTGAGCAGAACTGAGGTATGCGGAATGTGAGTTTGAGGAGCAGCTTGTGCCAGTCACGTACAAGAGCTAATCGTTACATTTCCAGGAACTTGGCAAGCCACTTGTTAGACTGTTTGTAACTTGAAATCGGCCATGGTGGGAGTATTAACATCACAGAAATAGCAAACACTACAAATCAGGACTTCCCCGTTCTCCCTCCAAGTTGGTTTACCAGCCCAGCAGGGAGCACGACCCAGAAAAGTTGATCTTTCAGCCTGGAGCCGGGAGCGAAGAAAACTGGTGGAGTACTACGAAAGTTCCCTTCAGCCACAGTAATTCGCTTGAGAAACGGACCTAGAAGCTACTCAGTTGCAGGGGTTGTTCGTTACCTGAGTATAATATAGCCAAAGCTGGTACACCATGCTGGTGTTTTGGTGAACACCAACAAGCGCCGCCTTCATCTGTCCCGACCTAGGTTGGAGGGATTTCTTCTAATAACTTGTGACATTATGTGCCTGCAGCCTGCAAGGATGCAAACCGCGCTCTGAGACTCAGGCCCGGGAATCCAGGTCTTGGAAGGTTAATGCAAAGTTATAAAACAATAGTTACATTTCAACCACACTCAGCTATTGCGTCATCTTTAAACCCTGGCCAACACAAGTCTGTCGCTCGCGGACCTTGATGGTTTCAGAGCGACTCCCCTACCACTTTCGGGTGAAGGCCACAAGTGACGGCCCCCCTTTCCCCGCAGACGTGTGAATGGAGCGCTGTGTCTTTAAGTGGGAAGCGCGGAGGTTTTCCGTCCGGGACAAAATGTCAGCGAGGCGCCTGGAGGGGGATCTACCATCCCCGACTCCGGACCAGCCGCCGGCTCCGGCAGCGTTTCGCGGGTAATGGGGTGAGTGTGGGCTTCGAGACTCGGTGGGCGAGGCAGGCCGGGCCGGGCAGCGGGGAGCGCAGGTGAGCAGCGACCGCGGACGCCCCCGCCGGCCTCCCTGGCACCCGCGCGGGGCGTGCCCTTCGCTAGGCTGCCCTTCTCCGGGCCGGCTGTCGCGATTGTGAGAAGGCAGGTGGGCCCGGGATTCTGCTGCAAGGCCCCGCTCACCATCTTCCAGTACCTCATTCTTGCTCCTTCCCTATACTCCGCTTTCGACAGGCTTGTTCGGAATGTGGAAATTCCTTGCCACTCTCCTGCTCTCCCTTTATTAAAGTTGTCTGATTACAGTCTTTTTACTGGGCAAGCGGCTGGGCGCCCTGCAGTGGGTTCTTTCTGTAATTGGGACTTACTTGGTGTCGCCCACTTTCGGAGGGAGAAAGTGAATACAAGCCAAAAGCTTACACCAGAATCCCCACCCCTCCCCCACCCCTCGTGGCCCCCAAACAAAAGAATTTTCCGCTCCTTTCGGAGTCCGCTGGAGCAGTTTCTGTGATTTGTTGCACTAACCAAATGTCCGAGGTTTACCAAAGCAAAAATCCCCTTGAAGGAAAAAATAAATACTTACCACTAGTCGAATTTCTAATTAGCCAAGACTACAAAGATAAGGTGTTTAAGAGAAACTGCTGTAGAAACAACTTAATGCATTAACCTAATTAGGGTAATTATTTTCTGCTGTTTTTATTCATATATTATGATGACAGCTTTTGGAGGCAAGAATAGCTTGAGGCAGCCAAGAATTTTAAAAAGTAGACAGCGATATGTATTATAAAAAGACCAAAAGCCCAAGCCAGGTAGTTCTCAATCTAAAAATTAAATTAAAAAATATTTTGAGTCACAAAGGCCTTCAAAGTAGGGCGGCTTTAAATTCCTATAACTCAGATTAAATTATGCATTTTTACAAGATAAAATGGATCACCACCTTAATCTTTAGGACCATATCTATTAAGCAAAGTAATGCAGGCCTGAAATAAAGGTCCACTTTAAGGGCAGAACACGTCACAATTTTCATTTTAAAAAGTGCATTAACAGAGTGCTTTTCTGCCTTTTAGCTAATGGTAGAAATATCTAAGAGTTTGGCTTATGACATTTAAGAAACATCTCTGATTCACCACATAATTACCTGTGAGTCCAGTGTATTTTTTACAGTCCACATATAACCTTTTTCTAAACTTTTACACATTTTACCATTTATTCCCCAACTCAGGTTTTACAGTTTGGAGGCATTTTTACTTGTCTTTTAACTTCAGCTAAGCCTTCAGCCTGGTGGTTCCAGACTAATTTTTCTAATTGTCTGGATCTGTTTATAAATAGATTAATATATGGCAGTAAATTAATATTTCAACAGAGATGGACGGATAACAGATGAACTGTGGTTTTCTTGACACTTCAGTTGTCAACTCTAATTACTTGTATTAATTATTTTGTTCTATTTTGATTAAAGTCACTGGTGGATGAAGTAAATGTTTTTAGTGTTTCCACATAAGTCTGTGTGAATTTCACATGAGTGTGAATTTCTCATCTAAGATCCAGGCTCAACCAACATATATTAGTTTAAACTCTGCCTGGTTAACCCAGCTACAGTGAGTAGCCTTGAGTATGAAAGGACAAATAGAAGTGTAATTAATTACTATGTCCTTTTGAGAACAGTGCCTGGTTCTTTGGCCTTTAGCCTGTCAAATATTTTTTTATGTGCACAAGCATAAGTATAAAATAATACAATTAACTTTTGTGGGTGCTTTATAGGATGACTGTCAATATTACAGTCATACCTTGTGTATATGCCCATATTTATACAGATTATTCATCCAGGTTTTGATTTCTTCCTTTATTCTTTATACTGGTATTCAGGGACATCATACTGAGGAATCTGGGATTGAATCTGATAGTTTATTAGGATAGAACCTCTTCAGAAATTGAGTCAAATGGAGAGATAATTAATGTGAATTTATTGTCTTCCACAGGCTTAGATTTAAGAACTCCTTCCAAATAATGGATACTCAAATGAAACTCAGCTACAGCAAGTGCAGAGGCATGGTACCAGCAACCCTACTCTCTCTCTTTCCTTGAAATATCTAAAACCTGCATTTGTCTTTTCAGTTTTTTTCACCCTGAAATTGCACTCAGAGATTTCCACTGTTAATTTCATGTTAGTAGTGCTTTTATTTAGCTTCAAGAAACTTTCTTTTAAAATAGGAGCTTGGAAGCCTCATTATACAACTGAGGAACTGGAACTTTATTAGAGTCGAGTACTAAGGATCATGTGTTTTGGTGGTGGATGACAATGCGTTTGTGCCCTGTGGGGCATGGACTTCTGTGTTAGGGTCCCTAAGACATCAGCTCCCAGGAGCTGCCCATGCCCACCCCTTCCCCAGTGGAGATGATGTAATGGAATTCACCCAAAGGAGCAAGCATTGATTTCACCTTTACCAGTCTGTTAGTAGTCTGTTTTCGCGCTGCTGATAAAGACATACCCAAGACTGGGCAATTTATAAAAGAAAGAGGTTTAATGGACTTAAAGTTCCACGTGGCTAGGGAGGCCTAACAGTCATGGCGGAAGGCGAAAGGCACTCCTTAGCTGACTGCGGCATGAGCTAGAATGAGGGTCAAGTGAAAAGGGCTTCTTGTTTATAAAACCATCCGATCTCATGAGATTTATTCACTAGCACGAGAACAGTATGGGAGAAACCGCGCCCCTGATTCAATTATCTCCCACCAGTTCCCTCCCACAACACGTGGGAATTACGGGAGTACAATTCAAGATGAGATTTGGGTGGGGACACAGCCAAACCATATCACACATCAGAATTATTGTTGGAAGCATCTTTCCCAACCAGAGGATACGCTTCCTGAGGGCAGAGACTTCATGACATTCCTCTTGGAATGCTTGGCAGAAAGCACGCACCTGACCTTAGCAGGTGCACAATGAGCATTTGAATGAGAGTTGGATGGAGTGGATGGATGTAAGCAAAATACGCAAATTCATTGGCACCTTTGTGTTAGTTCAAAAAAAATTTCAAGGAAAAATTAAGGGAGCTGTTACTTTTCATTTTCTTCTTATTAGCTAACCACAGAATTAATGATATGCATTCTCATTAGGTATTTGATAAGGAAGAAATGCATATCACAGGGCTTTGGCTAATTAAACCTCCTCATTATCTTATTTTACCTTAGTGATAAGCAACCTATTTTGCATGAAGGTCAGTTTAGGAAGTGAAAATAAATTTAAGGGGTAAGGGTCTTAGATTTGTTACTCTTTTTTATTTGCTCTTTGTACTCAAACAACTCCCAAGGGGATTCCCCCAACTTAGACTACTTACTTTGTTCAATAACATAATGTCAGATGGAAAAATAACTGCCTTTTAACCACTAAAATCTTAACGTGGATGTGTCTGAGTAGTAAATATCGGTAATTTCTTTTTTGTTCATGCCTTGAATTTATATAACACCAGAGAGTCCAACAGTGACATCATTTGCACTGTCTGATGTCAGCCACCTGTTTAGAGGCAAATAATCTTATTTCTCTTGACAGATGGGAAGATTGAGACTTGGGTGAGCTGGGGCTAAAGAAACAGAGTCAGGTTCATTTCATTTAATGCAGCATCCCCCAAGTGTCTGCTCTGTGCCAGGAAGATGAATGGGATGAGCTCCTCTTCCGTGACGTCCTGGGTGTGCATACAGAATCTCCTTCTGCAGAGCACAGCAAACCACGTGGCAATGAGCTGCCCCACACGCTGGGTTTCCTCCTCCAGGCGGCACAGCAGTGGGCTTCCCCATGGGACTGTCCCACCAGCCTCCACAGTTAAGGCTGGGCTGGCCCTGCCTGAGCTCACACGCCTGAGGAGCCAAGGGTTGTTTTGTTTTTTTGGTTTTTGTTTTTTGTTTTTCTGAGATAGGGTTTCGCTCTTGTTGCCCAGGCTGGAGTGCAATGGTGCAATCTCGGCTCACTGCAACCTCCGCCTCCCAGGTTCAAGCGATTCTCCTGCCTCAGCCTCCGGAGTAGCTGGGATTACAGGCATGCGCCACCACGCCCAGCTAATTTTTTCTATTTTTCGTAGAGATGGGGTTTCACCATGTTGGCCAGGCTGGTCTTCTGAACTCCTGACCTCAAGTGATCCAACTGCCTCGGCCTCCCAAAGGGCTGGGATTACAGGTGTGAGCCACCGCACCCTGCCCCAGGGGTTGTTTTGTAAAGTTATTTTTTATTTTTGTAGAGATCCTGTGATATATACACTTTCCCTAAATGTATACACGTGATCACATGCATGCTTTCTTAGCATCTTATTGCTTTTGCTTTTGTGTTTAGCTCTTCCCCTTCTCCCTTCTTTCACATCAGTTACCATTGCCTCAACCCATAGTATCTCCTTTATTTTTCTTCATCTGTATCTGTATATTGCCTATACAGATAGGCGTATTACTTAATAATAGTGGGATCATATTGTACACTCATCTGCATCTCTTTTCTGCCTGAACAGTTCCTCTAGACATCCTTCTAAGACACTGAACAGAACTTCATGCTATTCCTCTTTAATTGCTATATAACATTCCCTGATATAAACATATGTTATATACTCAGCCATTTTCCTGGTGGCAGGCATTGCCTTGCTTCCAGTTTCTTGTCACCCTACATGATTCTGTAATGAACATCCTGACACAAGACTGTGTTTATTGGTGCTGTTAGTTCTATAGAAGAGATCTCCAGGAGGAGAATCTCAGGTTATATCTTTTTCTTTTTTTTTTTTTCCGAGACAGAGTTTCGCTCTTGTCACCCAGACTGGAATGCAATGGTGCTATCTCGGCTCATTGCAACCTCCACCTCCTGGGTTCAAGCAATTCTCCTACCTTAGCCTCTCGAGTAGCTGGGAATATAGGCACCCGCCACCATGCCCAGCTAATTTTTGTATTTTTAGTAGAGAAAAGTTTCACCACGTTGGCCAAGCTGCTCTTGAACTCCTGACCTCAGGTGATCCACCTGCTTGGGCCTTCCAAAGTGTTGGGATTATAGGCTTGAGCCACTGAGCCCAGCCTCTATTTTTAATTAATATAGAAACTGCAGCCGGCCCTATCACACAGGTATCAGAATTATTGTTGGAAGCATCTCTTTCCCCACCAGACAGTATGCTTCCTGCGAGCAGAGACTTCATGACATTCCTCTTGGAATGCTTGGCAGAAAGCACGCACCCGACCTTAGCAGGTGCATAATGAGCATTTGAATGAGAGTTGGATGGAGTGGATGGATGTAAGCAAAATATGCAAATTCATTGGCACCTTTGTGTTAGTTTAAAAAAAAAATGTTCAAGGAAAAATTGAGCTGTTACTTTTCATTTTCTTCTTATTAGCTAACCACAGAATTAATGATATGCATTCTCATTGGATATGCTCATGACTGTAATCCCAGCACTTTGGGAGGCTGAGGCAGGTGGATCACTTGAGCCAGGAGTTCAAGAAAGACCAGCCTGGGTAACATAGACCCCGTCTCTACCAAAAAATACAAAAATTAGCCAAGCATGGTGGCATGCACCTGTAGTCCCAGCTACTTTGGATGCTGAGGTGGGAGGATCGCTTCTTGAGCCCGGGAAGCAGAGGTTTGCAGTGAGCCATGATTGTGCCACTGCACTCCAGCCTAGGTGACAGAGCAAGACCCTGGGAAGGAGGGAAGGAAGGGAGGGAGGGAGGGAGGGAGGGAAGAAATGGCCAGAATGCTTTCCTAAAATCCATCCCATCTTCACTAGTAATTGAGGAGTGTGTGCGTTTTCTCTACCTCCCTTGTAACTTTGGCTGTTAGACCTCTTAATGTTTCTTGGTGTGATGGATGTAAAATGATACCTTCCTGCTACTTTCATAGCATTTCCATGAATATAAGTGATGTTGTGCACCTTTTCACAAATTTCCTGGCTATTTGAGTTTGCTGTTAGGTCATTTGCCTACTCATATTTCTCGTCTGTTTTTCTATCGGGCTCTTTGTCTTTTTATTGTCAGTTTGAAGAGCCCTTTGTGTGTTATGGTTGTGGCTGAAGTGTCTGAAGAGCTTTCTCCCCCTCCACATTGCAGGGGCAGCTGAAATGCACTCGGGTTGTTTAGCAGAGCTAACCAGGCTGTTACGGTAGATACTGAGACTGAGGATTGTATTGAGCTAGAATATAGCCGCATGGTGTGGAGGACTGAGAAGGTGAGGCAGTTCTGCCCCATGCTGCCTTCCACCGGTTACGACCTCCAAAATCGAAGGGCTGCCCAGGCAGAGGATGTCCCCCTGCCACCCTCGGAGGGGCAGCGCTGTGCTGGCCGACATTTGTGAGGCTTCTACTAGGTCAAAAGGATTAAGACATCAAAGTCAGTGCTTCTCACCTTGTGCCCACTTTAACTCCTAACAGATGGCATTCACCTGTGCAACACTCCCTCTGGGCATTCCAGTTTTTAAAGAAACCCGGAGAGGTAAAAAGCATGACAATAATCGGTCACCTCTGGCTCTATTAGGGCCACATCAGTAAGGATGACTCTCAGACTTTGGCACAAGTAAGAAAATCTGCGGGTTTATGTGCAGTTTCCAAGCTTTAGCTCAAGCATATCAGAATGCAAAGCAATACTCTTGATGTTATAAGAAACGTTTACATCCCTTTTAATACTCTGTCCACTTTTGTGTTTGTCCAGTAATAAAAAAGGACCTTGGGAAAGATCAGATTCAATATAGAAGGAAATAGAAATTTTAAAAAAGAAAAAAGTATAGAAAAAATTCTAAGTCAAGTTAGATAATTAAAAAAATGTTTATAACCCTTACATCTTACTCTGTTTAGCAACCATAATGTTACATAACCATAATATTTACTGGCCACAAAAATACCATTCTTGAAGGTGGTCTGTAACTCCTCATCCTACTTTCCCCCACTTTTGAGACTTTAGCAATGTAATAAATCTCTTGGGGGAAAATGTAGCCTTTAATTTCTGAAGATTTTTTATGCTAATTGGTCTTTATCGTGAGTGACCATATTTAAATCAATGCCTGTATATCAGAAGACATGTAAATAGCCATTTCCTTGTTAGAAGAGGCATGGTACTTGTCTTTTTTGATGATTCTGGCAGATCTGTTATCTTTTTTAAAAAATGAGATATGTTAAATGTCATACCTGATCCGGAGTGGACTTGCTTGGTGGGAAAAATAATACTTAGGTTTAGAAAAGTACTGTGCATCTCTAACAAGACTATTAGCAACTGAATTCATAGTTTACACTAAATGCTACTGTTACTATAGCAGCTTATTTTTCCTATTCTCATCTTTGTCTTCAGTTTTTTCCAGTTGTGTTTAACAAGAAAGATTCTGGAACTTTGTCATGTCCATGGCTGCTGGTTCAAAATCTGACAGCATGAGCAGCATTGATCTCACTGTGCCTGGGTCTCACCTTGCCCTTTTCTCCCTGAGATAAGTTCTCAGAAGAGCTCAAGAAGTGTCATGTGTTTTCTTCTCATTGTTTTTCAACTTTCAAAGCAAATTTATCTAGAATCACACATTTGGTCCTTTGTGAACTTATTTCCTAAGGAATAAACTTTACCTTTTTTTGTATGCCCTTTTCTTTAATAGGTTATTGCAGTGTTGAATTATTTTCCTAATAAAAAAAGACTGCGGTGACAGTCACTGCATTATGTTTGGATCCTTTTAACAGATTTTGTGTTGAACAAGGCAAGACATTATTACTTTTATTTCTTTTTCTTCCTTAATTAAAAGTATTGAGCAAACTTTGTATCTTGCAAATATGTAGAGGGGATCTTTTAGTTAGCACAAACAATAAAGAAAACTAATTTTGTTTTATTCCTTGGGTATCTATGAAACGGTTAGAAAAAGTGAACGAGGGCATGGCGCTGCTCATTATTTCTAGTATCTATCTTTAAAGTGGTTTGAATGCATTTCTTTCACTGGCCTGCCTGTCCTCTGAATTTACTCCTAGCACTGCTGATGGTTCTTCGGAACTCAGGAACCGTGTTGCATGCATTGTTTCTACCCGTGGAACCTGAGATGGTTGGAAACCCTGAGGCAATGACAGGGACCCCAGAGTCCTTGGGAAATGACCCACTGTCTAATTTAAAGGTAAAACTTTAGAGTGCTGCTTTGGACATTGCCATTTCCTAAATGTGCATATCTTAAAAGCATTGCTTTCAGTACTTTCAGATTTTCTCATGGTAGATTGTTTTTATAATCACAAAAACATATTTTTATCTTGAAAAGCATACAGTCGTTGAAAGCTTTTTAAAAGGCTGTTCACCACTGGCTCTTCCACTCCTGAAGCTTAAGAAACAAAATTTTCATTCCCAAAGCTTTTTTTCTGGTCATTGCTGAAGTGTGCTGTGCAGCACCCAGAGAAGACTGCATAAGGAAGCCTCGCTGTTATTCTGAAGACAGTACCTTTTTTATTGTTGTTGTTATTGTTAAGAAAGCAGAGACTAGTTAAAGCTAACAGAGACACTGCATGGAGTTAGCTAGTTCTTTCCGTTCAAGCAGCTTAGCCTCCCGCTATTTATTAGTAGAAATACTTGTTGACTAGGGATCCACTTGATTTCAAAGAGGATTCCTAGTATAGGAAGGGCTAGACATTTTTAACAGTTTTTTTCCTGAGGAATCAACACTTAATACTGAAGATTAACTAGAAACCTAGACACCTACCCACACTATAGGATTTTTATCGGTAAGAAAATGGAGGGCGGCATGCTTTCTCAGACTAACTGTAGTCTAGGAGCTGTGTGCGTGATCCTAACACTCATTATTATTCTTCCCCTGCTCCCCAGCGTGCGGGCGCCGCAGAATGAGGAGTGGCGAGCCGGCCTGCACCATGGACGAGGCCCGCGGGCTAGACGACGCGGCGGCACGGGGCGGTCAGTGTCCGGGACTGGGGCCGGCGCCGATGCCTCCCGGCCGCCTGGGGGCGCCGTACTCCGAGGCCTGGGGCTACTTCCACCTGGCCCCGGGGCGCCCCGGGCATCCGTCGGGCCACTGGGCCACCTGCCGTCTGTGCGGGGAGCAGGTGGGCCGCGGCCCGGGCTTCCACGCAGGGACCTCGGCGCTGTGGAGGCACCTAAAGAGCGCGCACCGGCGGGAGCTGGAGAGCAGCGGCGCCCGGCGCTCACCACCTGCCGCGCCCTGCCCGCCGCCGCCCGTCCCTGCTGCAGCCCCCGAGGGCGACTGGGCGCGCCTGCTGGAACAGATGGGCGCACTGGCCGTGCGCGGCAGCCGGCGGGAGCGGGAGCTGGAGCGGCGTGAGGCGGCCGTGGAGCAGGGTGAGCGCGCCCTGGAGCGGAGGCGGAGGGCGCTGCAGGAGGAGGAGCGCGCCGCTGCCCAGGCGCGCCGGGAGCTGCAGGCCGAGCGGGAGGCGCTGCAGGCGCGGCTACGGGAAGTGAGCCGCCGTGAGGGCGCCTTGGGCTGGGCTCCCACTGCGCTGCCGCTCAAGGACGACCCCGAGGGAGACAGGGACAGCTGCGTCATCACAAAGGTCCTCCTGTAGGGGTGTGGCCACTTCCCCACCCCAGGCCAGCGCTTCTCCTACCAACGCCTTCAGCCCCCGCTGGCACCAAAGCCAGGCCTGAAGCAGCCGCTACTCACTTGGAAGCTCCAGCTAACTGTAGCGCCTTCCGCGCCCGAAGGCTTCAGCTTGAGAAGCACTTCGAAGCCAGAGCAGAACCAAAACTCACTTCCATGGGGTCACCTGGGGTGCCTGGGCGGCCTTTCGTGGGCATGCACGCAAGGGATGGGGTGGCACACGGAACACCCGAGAGCTCCAGCAGCCCCGTGAACCCAGACCCCCTGGTGCCATGACCACTTAGGGCTGGGAACCCGAACCTGGTGACTTTGAAAGGATAGAGAGCTTCATTCCATACCAAAGACTTATCACACCATGTGCCTCCAACAGCCCAAGGTGGAGGGTGCGGGGAAATGAGAAAGCTTTTTACCCAAAAAAAAAGAGTTCCTAATGCATAATCTGCCCAACACCAAGTTCTGAAGGGTTGGAGGGATGTCCCCTCCAGTTTCCGTGACTGCTGTAGACCCGCATCATCTCTAGCCCTCATCGGGGCAGTCCCAAAGAGTCCCCTTTTTTACTCCCCATATTATTCAGCCAATACCAGGTGCACTCTGTCTCCCCTCGGCCTTCTTTCCCTTGGTTCAGACCTAACGACAAGTGTGGCACATATGTCCACTTTCAGGCCTCACATCTGCCACCTTAGCAAGACATCACCTCATCCCCTTGTCACTAGGAAGAGGGTTTCTTCCCCACGTGTCGTCATAGTCCTCACCTCTGGGCTGAAGGGGAAAGCATCCCTTCGCATAAGGCCACATCTTCCTGTCATTTTCCATCCCATTCCTCTCCCATGTTTCCTGGGTCTTTCCTCCTGTAGTATTCCCCCTGTGGCTGTCTCAGTCCCTCCCTCTCCCCCAGGATCTTCCTCATCAATACTCAGTCTCCCTTTCTTACTGAAAAGAAAGACTTAACCCAGAAGGGCCAACAAGTCCTTGGCTGCCTATACTTCCTCCCCAGTTTTTACTCCTTCACTCTGGTTCAGTTTTCTGTGCTACAGTGGACTATTTCCAAGCCGCCACAATCTCTCAGTGACTAAATATGATGATCTATTTGCAGCCTCCATTTTGCTTAATAGCTCCCTTCTTGAAATTGCTCTTTTGGTAGGTGGATCCTGTTTTTCCTCCAAAGAATTCCTTTTCCTGTTGTATACTGGTTCCCAGATTTTTCACAGGCCTCTTTTTTTTTTCCTCTTTTTTTATATTGAAAAATTCCACACATCCAGAAAAAGTTGAAAGGCTAGCACAATGAATACTCAGATACGTACTCTCCACTTGGATTGAATAGTTAACATTTTGCCAGATATACTGTTCTCCCCACCCCATGCATGTGTACATAAAATGACATTTCACCCCTGAGTATTTCCACATAGATTTCCTGAGAACAAAGACATTGTTCTACGTGATTACAATAAGATTATCATGCCTAAAAATATAAACAGTAACTTCTTTATAACCTCTAATATAGAGCCCTTAATCAGTATTCAACAATTGTCTCCAGAATGTTTGTCTTTAAAAAAAAAAAAAAAAAAAACCCAGGTCCCATCAAGGTTCATACATTCTTTTGGTTTCAACTCTAGTCACTTTTAGTCTAGAACAATCCCGACATATTTTCCCATGACACTTTGTGAAGCAACCAGGCCAGCTGTCTTAGCAAATGTCCTTTATTCTGGAAGTGTCTGATTGCTTCCTTAGGCCTATATCTAATACTCCACTTGTGGCTCATCTCCCTGCAGAACTGTAATCTCCTCTGGGCCAGGGACTCCTGAATATCTCCAGGCCGAGTGTTCTCCCGAGGCCTGATCCTTCATGCCCAATCCCTTGCTGCATGTCTCCACTCCTCCTTGCACATCCTGCCTCTGTGAGTGGAAGAGGCGAATCTATTCAACCCCACATCACACCCCTCACCTGATGACTAACATTTACTGGGCACTAACAATGTATCAGGCACATACAACACACTTAACATGCATTAATTATCTCACTTTACTCTCACACCAGCTCCATGGTAACACTGTGCTGAGCTAGAAGGGTTAAGTAGCCTGTAGAAGATCACAGCTGGCCGGCAGTAGAGGTGGGATCCCACTGCAGACAGTCTCCCTCACAGATGCCATGCTCCCACCGTACCACCATGTACTGCTTCCTGAGATCTCTGCTTCCCTCAGTCGACCCAGCTGACACCTGTTTCCTTCCTAACTCCAACTAATTAATTCCAGTTAATGGAATTGACTGGAATTAGTGACATTAATATTTACTGAGCATTCACCATGTGTCATCAGAGCTGTGCTAAATGCTTTACAAGAATAATTACCTGCCATGAAGCAACCCTATGACATAGGTGCTACTCTGCCCATTTTGTAGATGAGACAGGTTCAGGGCAGTTACTAACAGCTTCAAGTCATACAGCAGCTAAGAGTCTGTATGGGGTTTGAACTGCGGTCTCACTGAATGCTGGGCGCCTGCTCTGCTAAGTCTATTTCTACAAAAGATTGCACTGCCTTCCTGCCAAGCATAGGGCCCATTTATCATGCATCTTCCTATCCTTGTCTCCCCCAACTGTCCCTTACCTGAGTCACAATTTGGCCAAAGCCAAAGGGATTGTCCTAAGCCAGTATTGATTTATTATCCACTCTTCCTGCTCAAAAGTCCCCAAGATCACCTATCAATCACCTACTTATTAGAGTGCAAGCTTTGACTGTCATCTGACATTCAAGTCCCCTTCTGCCCCCGTGCCAGTCCTCTCCCTTCCCCTACATATGCCCTATGCTCCAGCCAAATTGGACTCTGTTCTTCCTGATAAGACCTGGTATTGGCATCTTTATGCCACAGTTTGCCTTCCCTCCACTTTAAAAAGCCTCTTCAGTCTCTCGGTACAAAAAACATCCCACCCATTTTCTAAAACCATGCTTTCCTTGATTTCTCCTCACGTCGAGACATTTCTTTCTTCTCTGGTCTCCTAGCATTCTGTCTCACAACCCTCAGGACAGGCCAGCCAGTGTATGGCTATGGGTTTTTATCTCACCTCCCCTGCCAGACCCTGAGCCTTTGGGGGGAGTAGACTCACCCCACTCCCACAGTGCCTTGCATTCCATAGCTGCTCAGTACATTAACCCATTCAATGTCTTTAAGATTTTTACTAGTTTTCCTGTAATTACTAATATAATCATTTATCTCTAATTCTGAGTAAAATTCACAACAACAAATAAAGGAAATAGCAGTAATAATTTTTAAGCTGTTTAGTCAATAAAGATTTAATGCATCAGTTATTGGACTGTTTGGTTTGAAGCCAATCAACCAACTATTCTGGTATGTAAATCTTTTTTATTATACAAGTAACACAAAATGTATTGCCTCAATCGAGGAAGAACAGAAAAAATAATACCTCAAAATCCTGTCACCTCTGTAAAACTGCTATTAACATTTTAATGTATTTTCTTTTGTCTTTTGCAATTTTTATATTACTCTAGTAATAGTATAAGTTATTTTCAAGTATTGGAACTTAACTTCTTCATATGGATTTATATGGGCTAGATGATCTGAATTTCCTTTTTAGAAGGAAAAAGACTTCCACAAATGTTACTCTTCCATCTCACCAACTGTAAGAACCATTAAAACATAGGAAAAGATTTAGAGTCTTAACTACTGCCTCAAAGATGGCTAGTGCGAGCCTGAATGTTCTGTTCAGGATATACAGAACAATAAACCTGAGTGCTGAGTTAAGGGAAGAGGTTTTTACTTTCTGTTTATACACTTCTGCATTGTTGTAATTTTTTACACAAAGTATGAATTACTTTTATGATAAAAAATTTTGTTCGTAGACAAAATTCCTCTCCTTCAGCATTCAGCTTCCTTAGTTAAAATAAAATCTCCAACGAAAGCATGGATATGATCCCCGTTTCCAGAAAATCCTAGAAAGAAATGCAGCCCTTGTTCAGTCCAACTCCATCATTCGATAGATTAGGAAAATAGGTCCCAGAGAGTGACTCGTCCACTGTCAGGATATGGTGGCTGTGGCGCGTCACCTGACTCCAGCCTACTTAACGCATTTCAGCCTCTTCGGCCTTGAGGGCTCCTGCTGCTCACCTGAAACCATTCCCAAGGAACCCACAAAAGCAGGCTCCCCGGGAGGATTCCTGAGAACGCCTACACACAAGCCTCAGAGATCTGCCAAGACATTCTCTTTCCGATAGAACTATTTCATATTTTTCTATCAAATAGTTGCCAAATGACCTGCGCCAGTCAAAACTCAATCTGACTTGTGACTACAAAGTAATCTGATGAATCCCAAAGGTATATACAAATCTATCTATCTAAGGCATTTTCTCTTCAAAGTAGAAGACCTGGAAGACTATACAGTTATTCCGAAAATGCCTCAACATTTCTGGAACTCCTCTTTTAGAGTGGCCATGAGTCCCCAGCACATTCTTTAAAACATCCTTGAGTTGGCAAATACCCCTCTTTCCAGGATACATTTGATTTTTTAAAAGAACTGCCAATTATTCAGAGTCTGGTGAATACGGTAGATGATTAACCAGATTAACATTTCTGGTTAATAAGGTGAAATTATAATAAAACAATGATAATTATTTTAGTGTGGCTCATAAATTGCTCTTGATAGTGGTATATTAAGGTTAAGTAAAGGCAGCATGGTCACCGTAGAGATTAAAGCCCATTTTAGTTGGTTTATGATGTGAATGAATTCAGGTAGCACTGGGAGTCATTATATGTTTAAATAGTATTAAATGTTTCTTTTTATGAAAATCTTAATTATGACATTCTCTGAAATCTGGTTTCACAGTATTAAAATAAGGCTTTAAGGAAAAACATTAAATGGTAATGAAAGCTTTATTCTTTCAGTATATATTCTCGTGGGCTTTTGGTCAAGATAAGTAATGACCAGATGAATGAGCTGGCAACCTTCTGCCCTCTGAAGTCTACTAGTAATTGGAAGCTAAGTAAAACGTTGTCACATGTTTAAATACATTTGATAATATTCCACCAGCTTCTCCCTGTATTCTGCATGCTGGGCAATGAAATACCACAGCATTTTAACATAGATGAAGAGTGATTTTTTTTAAAGAAAGAATTTCCAAAAGTCATTCTTGGCTGGGCATGGTAGTTCATGCCTGTAATCCCAGCACACTGGGAGGGCCAAGGCGGGAGGATCGCTTGAGCCTAGGAGTTGAAGACCAGCCTAGGCAACACAGGGAGATCCCATATCTACAAAAAATTAAAATTTTTAGCCAGGTGTGCTAGTACACACTTGTCATCCTAGCTACTCAGGAAGCTGAGGTGGAAGGATTGCTTGAGCCTGGGAGGTGGAGACTGCAGTGAGCTATGACCATGCTACTGCATTCTGGCCTGGGCAATAGAGGAAGACTGTCTCAAAAAAAAAAAAAAGACATTCTTACATAGCAGGCAGACATTGTTTGCCTCCATTCACATTAACTCTCCCATCTGTGTCTGCTCTTCACCCTCCACAGACTTTTTGATTTACATGTTCTCCATCACTTCCAGTTTCCAGTGACCTGATTCCTGTTGCATGTTTTTTTTTTTTTTGTATAGTCATGAACTGCATAATGCCATTTCATTTTTGTTTTTTTGGTAGAGTCATGCACCACCTAACGTGTCAGTCTATGACATACCACACATACAGTGGTGGTCCTGTAAGATTACCATACTGTTATTTTTACTGTACCTTTTCTCTGTTTAGATATGTTTTGATAGATGAATACTTACTGTGTTAGACAACAGAACTCTGTGCAGGTTTGTAGCCTAGAAGCAATCAGTATACCATATAGCCTAGGTGTACAGTAGGCTGTACCATCTAGGTTTGTGTGAGTACCTGTACCATGTTTGTACAGTGACGAAATCACCACCAAGGCATTTCTCAGAACATATCCCCATCGTTAAGTGATACATGACTGTACTTAGTGCTCAGATTTAGAACCATAGAACCCAGATGTCTGAGCAAGCAGTTATTCTTCTCAGGTAGAGGAGATACATAATTGAACAAGGGGCTGCAGCCTCAATGAGGTCTGTTGTTGTCTACATACCCAGAACTCTCAAACACATGACTAAAAAGATTTTGAAAGCACAGTTTGTAAGATTCCCCTAAATAGATCTGGTTTAGAAACAGTCTGAAAACATTAAGAAAAAAGCCCCCAAATCCTTCCTGCATCAAACGCTCTACCCAAATTTTTGCTTTAAAATTTTGGCTTTAAAACTTTGGAATGAACAGAAACGATTTTGGATTAATACTTTCTGGAACTATCAAGGCCTGCATGCATTACTTGGCCCTTACATTCTGCCAAATCCTATGTAAAAATAAATGTAAGCTCCATGAAGGCAGGGAGCCTTGACTATTTTATTCACTGTTGTATCCCTAGTACCTAGAACAGTGCCTGGCCTGTGCTACGTGTTTCATGGCTATTTGCTGAATTAATGTATGCTGTTGAAAGACTTTTACATATGGAGATCTGAAATCTTCTACTTCTTGGAATTCTCCCTGTAGCTCCCGTGCTCCCATGGAGTACTGAGAGCCAGGGTTGTCTGGCTAGATCTCCCCATCATTCCTCCAGATGACTCCATTTCCAAAGTCATGTAGAATCCATTCCTCCTCCTTTGAGGATGATGAGAGTCACCTACAGTAACTTCTGTCCTTTCTCACTATTGTCTACCAATCTCCTCCTCATTTTCCAATATTCACTTAGAAGTCCACCTCCTGACTCAGTCTTCTTGTCCACACCTATCTCCTATTGCCTTGTGGAATGAGGATGACCCATCCACTACTTGCTAGCCTCATTCCTCATCCTACCTGACTTCAATAACCACCATCTCTACTCTGGGATTCTACTCCTACAACCATGTCCTTGGTATTGCTAGCATGGATAATAACAATGCTAATAATCACTAATATGTGGAGGTTTATTATGCATCAGACAGTGTGCTCAGTGCCACACAAACCTTATCTCCATTTAATCTTCACCAAAACTTGAAACCACCTTTGCAAAAATTATGACAGTGAAACAGATTTGATCTAACTGACTCCATCTTGCTTCTAATCTCCACACTGTCCTTGTTCATTCTTGGGCAAAGACAAAACTAACTTTTAGAGGAACTTAGTTTATATTTCAACTTTGAAACAAAGATGATAATAACCCTTTCCAGAAACAAACTCCCTTCTTGCCTGGATTCCAGACTGCCTTTGTAGGACTAACAAATAGCCACAAGATTAGAAATTACTGTTTAGGAGTTATGCAACCAGAGGCCATAAGATTTGAACCTCTCCATTGCTCCTAGGGATAAAATCACTATTGTAAAACCTAAGATTGGTGGTTGAGATATCTTTCAGACCCTGCATTCTGATGCACCAGCTGGAGCCACCCAGACTGATTATCTAGCTCAACCAGTCCTGGCTCACCCAGGAACAGAAGACAGCAAGAACCCACTTTGACCCCCTATGATTTCAATTCCGACCAAACCCATTAGTACTCCCAACTATTCTAGCCACCTATCTGCCAAATTATCCTTTAAAAAAAAAACCAGTCTCCACATTTTCAGGGAGACCAATTTGAGTAATAAAACTTGTCTCCCACTTACCCAGCTCTGCATGAATTAAACTCTTTCTCTATTGCAATTCCCCTGTCTTGACAAATTGGCTTTATCTGGGCAGCAGGCAAGGTGATCCCAATGAGCAGTTATAAACTCCACAGAAGACACTTGGGTAGAGAGGTTCAAATAAATTTTTAAAGGTCACTCAGCTTGGAAGTGGTGGAATTTTAATTTAAACTCAGGTCAGTCAGACTCTTCAGCCTGTGCTCTTAATCATCCCTGTGGGATGGAAAGAATCAAGATAGAAACCTCAGCCCTGCCACTTCTGTCACACCGGCTTTTTGACTTTGAGCAAAATTAAAACCTCTTAAGCCTCAGTTTTCTAATTCATAAAATGGTGTCCAGAATAAAGAATGTATGTTAAGGGCCTAGCACAGTGCCAGACGCAACACAAATGTGCATTCCATCCATTCCACCAACAAATGCTTATTGAGGACCTCCCAAACATCCAATCCTATGCTAGGTGCTGAAGATAGAGCAGTGATTAAGACAAAGAAGGTTCCTGCCTTCCAAGATGTGCACAGCATTTGGTGGGTGCTCAATAAATATTTGAACAAACTCTCAAAGAGGTCAACCTACTCTCAAGATTTCCAGTCGCCACTCTGCCTCCTTTTAATCAACCAGTTATTCTGCTATAAAGCAATCTAATGAGGTTCCGTTCCTGCTTAAAATCCTTCAGTGGATTCCTCATTGTCTCAGAGAGAAAATCCTTCATTTCTTAATTGTGTAAATTTCTTAACATAATATGCAGTTTGGGCTACAGGTAAGAGGCTCAGTTTTGTTCACCCCTTCTATGTTATGCAATCAAACCTATCTGGAAGCTTGAACTGCAAACCAGACCTATTGTAGTTAATGAGCCTGAGAACTGGAGTCACCAGTTTGGCATCTGAAACGCTCCCCACCTCATCACACAAACAGACTCACACAGCTGCAGCTCCTAAAGCAACGCAGTGGGTTCTTTGAAAAGGTTTGAAAATCTAATTGTAGGACACAGCCCATTAGTGTGTTATGA